GGAAATGAGTTTGGAGAGGAAGTCTGGAGTGTGATCACAGAGGACCTTGCAAAGCAAAATGTTTTCTAAAAAGAAAAGGAGAATTTTACAAAGAAGTCCGGTTCAGCCCACAGCTGCTCCACCTTTTTCTAGGCCTTCTGCATGGTCTCAGGAGGCAGCTCTGCTAGAGAGAACAAAAGACCTTCAGATAACAGGAGGCTCATCTTTATTCTGGAATGGTACTGGCAAGAAGTCATCTAAAGTCTTGAGGAGACAACTGGGATTCCAGGGACCACTGATAAGGGTAAACTCAGAATTTCTTAACTACTCCTTCCCACCTAGTCTCCAAGGCTTGGAAAGCTTAAACCTGCTCATTGTAAGCCACAAGGTGGAGATGTCTGGCAGAGCAGAACTAAGAGGAAGTCGTTTAGCCAGCCTAAGGTTACCATTAACACTTTGAGCCACTGCCTTGAGCTAATTTTTATGTTTGTTTTTTAAGTTTGGTTGAAATGTCACAAATGGAAAAATTAACTAAAGCGCCTGGGTTAGCCACAAGACTGGACACACCTGGCTGCAAACCCAGCAAAAGAAACTTACTTCATTAGTAGGAGAGGCAGAAAGTGAAATTTACATCTGAAATGTGCCTGCACCAGGAGAAAGTGCTGAGGCCAAAGGCGCTGTCTGTTTTTACAGCTGTGTCAAGTCTTAGTTCTCTACTCTTACCAACACTCAGGAGTGAGGCAAGGGCCCAAGGAAAAATGGTCTCCAACCTCTTCAGCTGCAACTCAGCTCACAAAGGTTTTTAAGAACCAGTTAATGAAATAAAACAAGACCAGATGAGGTGATATAATGAATTTTATTTCCACAGCTAATTTATATGTTTAAATCCCAAATAATGTTTTTTTTAAGTTAGAACACTCTAAATTATTGATGTGATTTTTGTAACCTCAAATTTAACACTTGCATTTTATACCAGCTCCACTAATGATATATGAGTCTGCCTTGTTTTTCACAATAGTTGGGCTCCTAAGAAGCTGATAAAAAGCAAAAAATTTTTAATAAAAATATCCCCACCAAATAGGATTGCAATTCTAATTTCATAGGAGTTCTTGATTCAAATTTCTGATTCATCATTAATTCACAAGTGGCTCCACTCAAAGTAATACCCTCTAAGAATTCTTTGGCATGAAAAAAATCACCACCACATTGATCAGTCTTATAAATTCTACTTTTTATATGAGTTTTCTTAAAGATGTACACCTGGGATGCCAAATTACACAGAGACAGATTTACAAATTACCACCTTCAAATCACTGATTTTTTGAGGCACTCCAACAACTCACATTTTTTAAAGAATAAACTGAAGCACAGAGAAGGAGACTTGGCAGCCAGGGTCAGAACCAGGCCAGACTAGCTTAGCTCCCTACTACTTTCTTCAGCTGTATGTCCCTAACTTTTCTCATTTCTTTAGGTTGTATACACACAGAAGACTAAGAACTCTATACACATAATCACACTTGTAACTTAGAAGTGGTTAAAATATAATTTTCTTGCCTGTATAAAGCATGTCTGTTTATACAATGAGCTTGGAAAGGGAATGGGGGGAGGGCGGGGGGACCAAGTCAATTGCAATAGAAAAGCAATAATAGTAATTTCCCAACTTCCAAACCTCTGTTATTATTAAATCACCACCTTTATTTATAGTCTTTGTAAATGAACTGGGGCTTGGCATTTCTCTTCATACAGGTGAATTTACAAGTCTGTACTTGGGGAGTATTATGGATCATCTAAAACTTTGCTCTTCAAAGTGTGGTTACCACAACCTCACCCTGCTCCACCTGTGGCAATCATCACCTGAAGCTTTCTAGAAATGTAGACTCTCTGGCTCCACCCCAACCTACTGAATCTGTACTTTAGCAAGATCCTCAGGTGGACTATATAGGCACATTAAAGTGTGACAAACACCAATCTAACACCTTGCTCTATAGGACAACATCGTATCTAGAAAAATTCAGAAATAAAAATGGTTCAATAGGTGATCCCTGGGTGGCGCAGCGGTTTGGCGCCTGCCTTTGGCCCAGGGCGCGATCCTGGAGACCCGGGATCGAATCCCGCGTCGGGCTCCCAGTGCATGGAGCCTGCTTCTCCCTCTGCCTGTGTCTCTGCCTCTCCCTCTCTCTCTGTGACTATCATAAATAAAAAAAAAAATGGTTCAATAAAACAGGAAGAAAAATAAAGAGGAAAAACTAATTCCTACAGGACTGCACTGATACATACTTGGACTAGAAACATACAAATCAAGTATCGCCTATCTGATAAGTGGGCTTTGAAACAATTTTAGAGGCTGAAATTCAATTTATTCATCCAACAGTATTTATTCATCCACTATTTACTACATAAGCAAAAAAAGAAAAAAAAAACTACTATGTAGTTAAAACAGGTCTCCTGCCTTTATAAATATGCAGTTAAGTGGAAGCAATGTTTTAAAGTAACACAGAAGGTTCAAAGTGCTGGAGATTAGGATGGAGATATTTATGGAGGTCCGAAGGAAATTCACAGTGACGGGATAAATAACTGAAAGATTCCTGTAGTTCAAGAGTTAGTAACCTATGGCTCATTAGCTATTCAAATTGTGGACAGTTGTGGCCCACATGACTCTAGCAGCCCAACTGTCCAGCCGAGTTTAGTCAATAGTGACAAGAAACAGGTTAACTAATTAGAAGAGCTACTGTTTCATTGCATGACAGTCAGCCAAGGCTTTGGCTGGCCCATGGGTGTCACTGGTTATCATTACGTGATGTGATAGTAGCAGCACCACCCTATGTCCACTGGGTGCTGCCACAGGAGTTGGATAGTAAGTACCTGAGGGCATATGGAACACTCCGTGGGATTAAGGCTGCTGATACCACTCTGGGTAGCAAAGACATCAGAAAGGCCTGACAGTGAAAAAAATGGAACAAGGAACCAAAGAATACACAAAGACAGCACTCAATGACTCCAAAACAAATGATGATACTGATGGCAACTAAAACTCTAACATATGCTATCCTCTTCTTGGAATGAACAGAAATACCAATGGTCTACTGTCTCAGAGAAAGGCATGTGAATGTCATTGAAGACACCTTTAAGACAAATCTATGTCAAAAAAAAAAAAGACAAATCTATGTCCACTGTGCTTCCTATATATATATATATAGGGCCTCCAAAGACATGAGAATTTAGGAATACCCTCTCAGTAGGCAACCATCATCTCCATGATTTAGCTTCAAAGACCTCAATTTTACACATATAGTAAGCACATGATACCATTAGACAATGACACAGGAGTGTGTGAAAATAATTACAATAAATAAAACGTGGTGACAACCTCCCACTCAACTCCCATGTAGCATGGAAAAATCTCTAAGACATATTTTTGAGTGAAAAAAATTAAATACATATTAGTACACAGAGGATGATTTCATGTATAATCTAATATACAAGGACGCCTGGTGGCTCAGTGGTTGAGCATCTGCCTTCGGCTCAGGGCGTGATCCTGAGGTCCTAGAATCAAGTCCCATATCAGGCTCCATAGGGAGCCTGCTTCTCCCTCTGCCTAGGTCTCTATCTCTCTCTGTGTGTCTCTCATAAATAAATAAAATCTCAAAAAAAAAAAATTAAGTATACACACACAAAATCAATGCTATATATTTTCTATAGAGAACATAGAAAAGAGCCTTAAAAGATATACACCAAAGTGGAAAGAGTGATTACTTCTTAAAAGGAGGTAACTGGCCAGGAATGAGATTGACGATTAAAGGGATTTCAGTCTTAATTAAAACATTTTGAATTTTAAAAACAAATGTAAAGTCAAAACATCTTAATATAGGGGCACCTGGCTGGTTCAGTCATGGAGTGTGTAACTCTTGACCTCAGGGTCGGAAGTTTGAGCTTTCATATGGGTGCAGACATTACTTTTAAAAAATCTAATATATATATTAAGTTAAAAAGCCAAGGTACAAAACTATGTATGGTTAAGCCCATTTGTGTTATGTTACAGAATATACATTTATAATTTGCATTTATATAGGAAACTAGAAGGATACACATCAACTCTTAACAATGGTGACTTTTGGCAGGTTGGAATGGGGAAACAACACTTGTCTTTATATTAAATGCTTTTCACTGATTTTTATTCTATGAACATGTATGACTTTTATAATACATATATAAACTCTGTTTATTCTTCAGTCCATAGGGAGAACTTTGTAATGGAAAAAAAAAACAACCCATTTCGTGACCCCATCTGATGGTTCTGCTTTAGATGATCCTAAGCTAGGAGGCTTAAGGAGAAAAAACAAGGGGATAAAACAAGGATTACAATCTACTAAAATATGGTCTAGATGCAAAAATACACAAAAGAAGAGATTACTATTTATATAAACAACTGTCTCTAATGCTTTGGTTTCATCTTTCCATTACCATTACATTCTATGTTTTATATGTATATATCCCCCCTCTCTCAGGTTAATTATTAAATGTACTAACATACATTTTCAGTGTATGTTGCCAAATTATTCTAGGTTGTTAGTGATCAAGGAGCTCGTTTTTCAGTTCCTGAGGACAGTGCAGGCCCAATGCCAGGGCATTTCCATCAGAACTAATTTAGAGGAGGACTAGTTCAAACATTCAATTGGTGTCAAAGGCATAGTACCCTAAAACTCGATTACTATTTGATTTCTTCCATTCAACAAATCCATCCCTCTTACCACCATTATTTGGGATTAATAATTCCATTTTCAAACACAGGATGTCCTTGCATTGACAAATCATAATAATGTATGCAAACACATAAAGTGCCCATGGTATGTCAGTCTTCATAGAGGCAGAAACAACTCTAACTGAATTACCACCTGACATTAGGCAGCATTACACAGAAATCTAAAAGCAAAGCTATTCTAGAACAGATAAAACATCAACTCAAGTCAAGCAATCCCTCACTGGAGTTTTCCTGGACCATAATCTAACAGCATTTTACTTACCCCCATAACTCTGCCACGCTGCTCAACATCCTCCCACATAAAATGAACTATGATCCGACACATATATTTCCCACTCCGGCCTTCCTGCTTCATTCGGACTAGACACATCCTGGGTGGGAAGAAGACATAAAGAGTAACTAGCTGTTTGTAATTTTTTTTATCACACCTTATAATTATACTGAAGGTCAGCTCATCTTGGTAATTTCAGTAGAGAACACATAATAAAAAAACTGGAAGTGATCTTGTTAAAAAAAAGAAACTTTCATTGAGGTACAACATAAATACTGTAAAGAACATAAATCTTAAGTGTATAACTTGATGAATTTTTACATACACACACATACACACACACACACGTAAGCAGCGAGATATCTAGAGATGTGTCTATCTCAAGACAGAGATTATTTAGAGCACCTCAGAAGGCACTCTCCTACATGAAAGGAACCCACATTTAGTTATTAGAAGATAAGCAAGAAAAATCGTTCATTTTGCTGAATGAATACAGGAGTCCTATACAAGGAAAGTAATTTGCCCAGCACCACGGAATAGTCTGTAAAGATGGGTATAGTGCTGTGCTATCCAACACAGAAGCTACTAGCTACATATGCCTATTGAACACTTGAAACGTGACTAGTTCCAACTGACACATGGTATAGGTTTAAGATTTCAAAGATTTAGGGATGCCTGAGTGGCTGTTGGTTAAGTGTCTGCCTTCAGCTTGGGTCATGATCCTGGGATAGAGCCCCACATCTGGCTCCCTGCTCAGTGGGGGGTATGCTTTTCCCTCTGCCCCTCCCCTTGCTCATGCTCTCTCTCAAATAAATAAAACATTTAAAAGATTTCAAAGATTTAGTTCAACAAAAAGACAAATACCTCAATTTTTTTATACTGCTTACATGCTGAAATATTATTTCAGATATACTTAGTTAAATAAAACCAATTATTAAAATTCAGTTCACTATTTTTCACTTTTTTAAAATGGAGCTACTAGAAACTTTTAGTTCAATATATGACTTGCGTTGTTTGTTGGACAGAATCTATCTAGAACACAGATCACAGAAAGTATTCACCTGTGTAATTATCAAATCGTTTCCCCCATTAGAATGTAAGTTCCACTGAGGACAAAGATCAAGTCCGGGCTTTGTTGTTTTTTTTTTTTAACCACTATATACCCAGGGCTTAAGTGTAGTGGGTACTTAATATTTACTTGCTAAATAAATTAAGTGAATAAAACACCTCAAAGCTAGTTTAGGGCTTCTTCTCCTATACCACATTGCCTCTAATCAGTCTATAAGGGTCTCTGCTTAAGACCTTCCATAAGAATTATATTTTTAGGGGATCCCTGGGTGGCTCAGTGGTTTAGAACCTGCCTTCGGCCCAGGGTGTGATCCTGGAGTCCCGGGATCGAGTACTGTGTCGGGCTTCCTGCATGGAGCCTGCTTCTCCCTCTGCCTGTGTCTCTGCCTCTCTCTCTCTCTCTCTCTCTCTCTCTCTCTCTCTCTCTCTGGCTCTTGTGAATAAATGAATAAAATCTTAAAAAAAAAGAATTATATTTTATTAATTAGTAAATATGTAGTATACTTAACTATAAATAAGAATATAAACCAGGTCATCAACTTTCCAAACGAGTTCCTTATCTCATTCTTAATGAGCTTCCTTATTTCTGTTACCTCTCATTAATTAGTTTTTAAGCGGCTATAATAGGACTACTCACCAAAAAGACAATTCCTGCTATAATTATGTAATATTCTATCTAAACTGACAATTCTGTCTCCATACACAATCCTACCCATTAAAATCTACAAATTAAAAATAAAATAAAGTAAAATCTACGAATTGAATTTAAATTTTTAAAAAATGTAAAAAAAGAAAATCTACTAGCAATAGTATGATACAATGGAATGATTCCAGCCTGGCCTGCCTCAACATCTCTGGTAACCACTAAGATGGAGAAAAGAAAACATACTTATCAAATCTGCAGATGACAAGAAGTTGGGCAGGAAGACAAATATGCTGGATGACCCAACTATGAGCCAAAAATACTTCAACAGACTGTTTCAATGGGCTGAATCTAATAGAATGAATTTGAACAGGAGTAAATCTAAGGTCCTGTACCTGGGTCTTAAAGAACTGTATGTAGCAGTGCAGGATAGGTGAGTCATGTCCATCTATGTGTGAAAAAGTCTAGGAGGCTTAGGTTGACAATTAACTAACTTCAAAGGAAGTCAAGGTGATGATGAGGCTGCTCCCCAAATTAATGTGATTTTAGATACAGTAACAGAAATATAATATCTTCCATGTGCAACAGTGAAATTTTTGTTCCATTCATCACAGGTCAGACTCTACTTGGAATACTACCCATAGTTTTGAACATCATATTTTAAGAGATAAGATGAAGAGATGAAAGATCAGAAGATAAATACCCTGAGAAAAATAGGAGAGTTGCTTTAAATATTGTAGAAAAGTGATTAGACTATTTGCCTAAGAATTAGAACCAAAAGGTGAGCCACAGAGGGAGAAAGAATTATTCAACACTGAACATTGAAAAAAATAACTTTCTAACAGGAGAGTTTCTGAAGTTTCAAGTGATGGAAAGAATAAACCCAAGACATAGAGAATCTGCCTACTTCTGAAGGGCAAATAAATCCTTTGTGAGAACTCAGCTATTTGATAGGTTGACTACATGACCACCTTTTAACATCCCTTCCAACCATGAGGTTTGCTGATGTTATTTTAATTCTTTTTTTATTTTTTAAAGATTTTATTCATTCATTCATGAGAGACACAGAGAGAGAAAGGCAGACACAGGCAGAGGGAGAAGCAGGCCCCATGCAGGGAGCCCGAAGCGGGACTCGATCCTGGGACCCCAGGATCACGCCCCAGGCCGAAGGCAGGCGCCAAATTGCTGAGCCACCCAGGGATCCCCTGATGTTATGATTTTAAATTTGTAACCTCTGAACCCAGTTAGAACCTAAGATTTAACACTTTCTAACAATAAAAACAGGTCACGGAAAAAGATCTGGCTACTTTATATGATGTAGGATATATTCCAAAGCAGAAACAAACTGGGGAAATTTCAATGGTCCTTTTTTTTTTTTAAGATTTTATTTATTTATTCATAGACACACAGAGAGAGAGGCAGAGACACAGAGGCAGAGGGAGAAGCAGGCTCCACACAGGGAGCCCGACGTGGGACTCGATCCCAGGTCTCCAGGATCACACCCCAGGCTGCAGGCAGCGCCAAACCGCTGCGCCACCGGGGCTGCTCAATAGTCCTTTTTCTTTTTTTTTTTTTAATAAATTAATTTTTATTGGTGTTCAATTTACCAACATACAGAATAACATCCAGTGCTCATCCCGTCAAGTGTCCCCCTCAGTGCCCGTCACCCATTCACCCCCACCCCCCGCCCTCCTCCCCTTCCACCACCCCTAGATCTATTAAAAATAGACCTGCCCTTTGACCCAGCAATTGCACTGTTAGGAATTTACCCCAAAGATTCAGATGCAGTGAAACGCCGGGACACCTGCACCCCAATGTTTCTAGCAGCCATGTCCACAATAGCCAAACTGTGGAAGGAGCCTCGGTGTCCATCGAAAGATGAATGGATAAAGAAGATGTGGTTTATGAATACAATGGAATATTACTCAGCCATTAGAAACGACAAATACCCACCATTTGCTTCAACGTGGATGGAACTGGAGGGTATTATGCTGAGTGAAGTAAGTCAATCGAAGAAAGACAAACAGTGTATGTTCTCATTCATTTGGGGAATATGAATAATAGTGAAAGGGAATATAAGGGAAGGGAGAAGAAATGTGTGGGAAATATCAGAAAGGGACACAGAACATAAAGACTCCTAACTCTGGGAAACCAATAGTCCTTTTTCTTAAGATTTTTCTTAAAGTTAATCAAATCGTTCATGTGAGACTCTCACCTGAAAAGACACGGTGAGTTTTGATGCTTACATGTCGTCAGAGGCCAATTCATCAACAGCAAGTGAGGTAATGGAATTCTTCATTTATTTGAAAATTCTGTAGTTTGTTAATACACCTGCCCTCTGAGGTTTAAAAGGCACAGATTTTCTCAGACCATAAAGTATACATTATGCTATGCTCACCTCAAGTGTAGCTACCATCTGTCACCATAGAACCCTATTACAATACCATTGACTATACTCTTGATGATGTACCTTTGATCTCCATGACTTACTCATTCCTTAAACTGAAGGCCTGTATCTCTCACTCTGTTGCACCCATTTTGCCCATCCCTCACCCTCCCTTCCCTCTGGCAACCATCAGTTTATTCTGTGTATTTATGAGTCTGTTTTGCTTTTATTCATTTGGGTTTTTGTATTTTTTTTTAGATTCCATACATTAGTAAAATCATATAGTATTCTTGTTTCTCTTATTTAAAATTTTAGCATCATACACTCCAGGTCCATCCTTGTCAAAATGGCAAGATCTCAACGTTTTTATGGCTGAGTAATATTCTACTGTGTGTGTGTGTGTGTATATATATATATATATCATATATATATTCTTTTTTTAATATTCTTTATTCATCAATATTCATATTGATGAACACTTTGGTTGCTTCCATATCTTGGCAATTGTAGATAACACTGCAATAAACACAGAGGTGTGTATATCTTTTCAAATTCATGTTTTCACTTTTGGGTAAATACCCAGTAGAATTACTGGACCATATGGTATCTCTGTTTTTAATTTTTTGAGGAACCTACAGTGTCTGCACCAATTTACATTCCCACCAGTAGTGCATGAGGGTTCCCTTTTCTCCATATCCTTGCCAATGCTTGTTATTTCTTGTCTTTTTGATTCTAGCCATTCTTACAGATGCAAAGTGGTATCTCACTATAGTTTTGATTTGCGAAGCCCTGATGATTGGTGATGTTCAGCATCTCTCCATGTGTCTGTTGGTCATCTCTGTCTTCTTTGGAAAAATGTCTATTCAGGTCCTCTGTCCATTTTTTATAGGATTATTTATTTTGGGGGAACGTTGAATCATAAATCCTTTATATATTTTGGACATTAACCCCTTATCAGATATATCATTTGTGAATATCTTCTCCCATTCAGTAGGTTGCCTTT